TTAGACTTGATTTGCAGTAAACTTATACCTGTATAGTGCCCAGATTTCATAGTATTGTAATTTGTGAAGTATTTCGTTACTCATTGCATGATGAATGCTTATTCAAGCAAGAGTATGTGCTTCAACGACACCCATGTCTTCCACTCTGTACAGTTACGCACACTCTCACCGTTATGTCACTGGCATCATTTTCTGTCACCCATTCTGTCAGCACCAGATCACTCAATGTACATATAACTGCTGATTCCGAAAAAACTGGGGACTGTTTTATTGTGTATTGTTTAAACATGGCACAGTTGTTTTCTCATCTCCCCTTCCAACCAGCACATTTACATTGGTGTCCTCTCTATGCATCAGATTAAGTACTATGACACTGGTTGCCCCTGAAAGTCAGTCCAAGGTATACGTAGTCAATGCTCATATTGGTATATGGATTAAGAATCTCAATCATCCCATTCACATGCTTAATGAATAGCCTGTCATTTGTAGACAAATTAGATATGCATTTCTAGTAAACCTATATTTTGATTGCCAATTAGAAAAAAATAGATTAAAAAAAAGAATATTGAAAATTGCTCAATATCATATCATAGTCTCGATCTAGTGCTCAACTATGCATATACACAGGTATTACCTGACAGTCAGGTAGATGTAACTGTGTAGCACACCTGCCCAGCTCAATATCACCATCTTCTAGATACTAATGCCTTGTTTTACCTTTATTTAATTTGTACACACGTAGGGGGAATGCATTGTTACCTGACTTTTGCCAGCCAGACCCCTTAAGAAATTGATTTTGACTAAAAAAATCTCTAATAGAAAAATTGCATAAAACACCCACATGTCTCCCTAAAACAACACAAACACAAAAGCTTGATCGCCTTTAGTGATAAAAATGGGTGTGAAGTTTAAAATGATATACATGTAAGATCTGCACTGCACACTTTTGCTCCAGTGTATTTTTTTTTCCATATTGAAATGTGCCTTATAAGTGTAATTAGAAATTACTGCTATTCAAGATTTTAGTCAAGATATTAGACATGTTATGGCGTATACTGGATTTTGTTTTTTCTAACAAACTTTGGTGTGTAGCTTTAAAATTTATGTTAATATTTGTAATAATTGGAGTAGCTTCTGCAAAATATCTTTAACTTGACAGTTTTTAGAATGATCTATATATATATATATATATATATATATATATATATATATATATATATATATATATATATATATATATTTGTATCTTGTATGATTATGAAAATAAGCATAGTTACCCTTAATGTTATGCTTCAGTTTATAGTTATTTAAGCAGTTTGTTTTATGGATTTGTTATTTAGATTTTGCAACTTTGCTGTGCACAGTTTACGCTGCATCTTTCTGTAAATACATTATTATATATTTTAGCTTAAATGTATCTGTGTTGAATTTTAGTTGTGTTAATTAGCTTGTGCAGGAGGACACTATATTCTCATATTAGCGGTGTTCAAAAAGGTGAAACATAAAGCTGCCATCTTTAGATGTAACACTATTTGTAATGACATTGTTCTGTTAAGTGTTGTTTTTTATTCTGTTGTCAGTGTAGTGAATTGTTTTGGTTGTGAAGTTTCATAATGTCATCGTAAGCTTGTCATATAAATTTAAAATCCGTGACAACTTGACATTTGTGCCACTGGCCAAATACATAAATATTGTAACTATTAGACTAAGTGTGTTCAATGCTGTCACTATTGTAGCTTAATATTCCTGTCACTTCAAAAGTGCATACTATAACTTAGACCTTGGTATTCACTCGCATGATGCCATAGTGTACTTGAAGGGGCCTTAAAAACCATGTTTACTTAAACAAGAAAAAAAATGGAGAGAGAGTTACATATGACCTGATGACTTGGTCAACATGAAATTGAATATCCGAGTCAAGTGGTTAGTATATGATCTGAAGACAGTAGTAAGCCTATTTCCAGTTTGAGTAATTATGGTTCTGAGTGCGCCCTTTGGAGAAAATCTGAAAAGATTTCTCAGCCAGTTTTCTAAGATCTCAGTGGTAATATAACACTAGGAGTGGGATATAGAACTGCTTTTCTAAACCTTCACAGTGTGTAGCCCCCGTTTTAGCTGTTACTTAAGTGTTGTTAATTTGACAGCACATATAATGCTGTCGAAAACGTCTTATTACAGTTTTTGTCTGTACAGTTATCATTTGAAATAGTTAAGATTGAATAAAGAGAACAGGTTGGATTTGAAGAAGAATGTCCTGTGATCTGATGCAGTTCATAAAAAAGTAACTTTTTAATAAGAATCATTTTTATTGGATTTAAGGAGTCTCACTTTGCTTAAGTGGCTGAATTTGACTTACTTGACACGTGGTCTTAAAAAAAAGATTGTCATACTCCACAAGATCACATTCTTGTAGTCAATCCCATGATGCCATGCAGAGTGTCACCTGACCTTTGATGACGATCACAGTGATTTCTCTTCATCATTTGAAACCAGCTTTTATTTCAAAGCTTCTTTTTATGCATGCAAGGCTTTGTTAGCTTGGAAGTTATATCTTAGTAGAGTAGTTTAAGTCATCATATATATATATTTAATTTGTTTTTGCAAAATGATTGGTATTTATTTGTGATTGTTGTAAATCATTAAATGTAAAGAATGAATTGAAATCTTAATGTACTGTACATGTACTGGAAGTGGAAGTTTATAATGATGTGTTTCAACAATTGCAGGTGACAATTAGCTGTACATAATAGCTAGTGTTAGGTGTGTAGTTTAGAAAATGTAGAAACATTTCAGATACATATAGATAGCTTTTACTTCAATAATTTGGTTTTGGTTTTTAAACTTTTAGCTGAATATGTTAGCTGCTCTCCCAACTCTGCTTCACACAACAAGTCACATTGGATGCAATTGTACAACTGCTATCACAATGGTTATTGTAACATTGTGCTTAGCATGACAACAGTAATTGCTTGTCTCACCCATCACAATGACAGCTGCAGAACTTGGAGGGCACCTGCAATTCAGAAGCCAATGTAACATACAGCTAATTTCTTGCCAAAGATAGACAACTTGGGTTGCACAACTTACACTGAGGGTAGAATAGATTCTAGGGTAGTAATTGCATTAGAATTGTATTAATAGGGTATTTTCATCTGCTTTGAGTAAAATGTAGAATTATGAGTCAAATTCATGAGTAATAGACAAAATTGGTAATTCTTTACCAAACAGCATTGCAACAAAGTGTACAGTAAGAATTTACTTGGATCATGACATTTTGTGAAACCATGTGATGTTTGGTTTGTTTGAGGTGACAGAAGTTGGATTTTAGATTGGTTGCATCTTAGTTTGTATGGAGGCAAACTGTGGTATTCACATCATCAGTATTGATGACCGAGATAACTTGCTGCTGACATTTTGTGCATCTTGCCTGTTTCAGTATTTAGGCTTAAGTAACAAAACAAACTTTTCCTATCAGATTGTTTATCTTATCTTGAGAGATTCATGACATATAATTAGCTTTGGACAAAGTTGCATTTCAACCGTCTTCTATTAATTTTCTGATTTTTCTCAAGAAACCAACTTTACACTCAGTTTAGTGCCATTATCAAGCAAATTTAGTTCGTGTTCCATATGGGAAATTTCCATCAAGTCACTGGTTCAGAAGGTGCTTATTTACATTGGTTGCTATAGCAACTGATACACCATCTTTGTATTTCATGTGGGATGTGTAATGTATTTTCTGTAAATTGGTGAAATTCGTCTCTTTGTCTCTGTTTGTAGCTTAAATATTAATAGTATTATAATATTAATCGGGATTTGTTTGTTCATCTTTGCAATTATTAGTGCTATTAGCTTGTAAATAAATGCTTTGATCTGAAAAGTATTTCCTTGTTTTTGTCTTCATTTAGAATGCCATTTGCTTTAGACCAAATGTGTTAATTATTAATGCAAAGCTGTACTGCAAAAGAGATGGCAATCTGCAGGAAACTACTGAAGAGATTACCAATGTGCAAATTCAAACATACTGGAATATTATCATAAACACCCTTGTGGTCCTTTCCTGAAAATTAATTTGAAATTTTGAATTATTTTCAAGACTAGAATACAAATTTATAAAAGTTACATATACATCTTGAGTTTAATTCTGAGATGATAATGAAATTAAATCAATTAGCTGCTCTATCAAAAAAAGCTTGTCAGCAAGTTTTTTAACTGAAATGATACAAAAAAGTCAAAATTCAAATTCAGTTTTCTCAGTACTTCTGGATGAATGTGTAATCAATGTTATTGCAAGGAAGTTAGAACTGCTCACTATATTCACAGCAAATTGCAGTAGATGTGATTTAAAGAATCTCTACCAGTACTCTTGATGTGTTCATATCTCAACAACCGCATTTGAAAAATTACAGCTCTCTCACACCACATCCTGTACAATATGCTTCCACATCCAGGCACAACAAGGCATTCCTTTATTCATTAACTTTTTATTGTGATATGCATTTATGGTAATGCTTAATACATGATCATAACTTGTGCTACCTGATTACATATTTCGTAAAGGAAAATATCACAAGATGATTTGTAGAAACTCCCATTTCATCAGTGAAATCAATTTTTTTTAAGTTACCACACCCAAACAAAATATTTGGAAGTATATATTTAACTTGAACTTACAGAAACCATGCACCTTGGAGATGCACCCTCATTACATCATATTGAAAAAAATACTGAAACAAACATATGCAATCCTGAATTTGTGAAAGTGTTGAAATTAAGTATTCATAATACCAAGAATGTACAATTCTTGATAAAGCATACATCTATCTATGTATACATTTTTGAAGTGATCTAGCAAGTTATAATAAGAGTTGGAATGGAATGCTCACTAAGAGTCCTAAGAATTAGGACATCTAATAGCTCAGCACCTGTGCCATATTTAATGGGCAAATTTGGAATGAAGAAAGCAAAAAAGTGTAATTACTTACTGTCATTACAAAAAAAAAAAAAAAAAAAACTGTGACATGAGACCCACCTTCCACTCATGCTACTTCCATTCCCCCTTTGCATATCGCATAGTTATTGTCATAATCAGTAATTTAAAAGCTCTAATACACAATTGAATGAGATGTTCTTTCATTAAAGCATCGTTTATATCAGCGTTCAATAGTAAATGCCTTCATAGACTAAAACTTCAAACTGACTAGATAATATTTTACAAAGTGAAGGAAAAAAATATATATGTACATCTTACGAAATTTTATATCTTTATAAAATATTAAAAGACATCAGAGCAAAAAAAGTATCCTGGCCTTGATGAGAAGCAAAAACAAATGATCTAAAATCTTTAGCCTTCATTTAGAAAGGCCACATCAACTCCACTTCTTTGGCAGTGGCCTGTGAAACAGTTTAAACTGGTAACCTTGGTATATAGACTCATGTATCTCAGATGAAATGTCCACCTTATCAAAACCTTCCTCAAGTCCATAAAGAGCCAGTTTACACAGAGTTTTAGTGAGTGATGAGGTATCCTCGTGTGACAGAAGTTCTTTTACATGCATCCACTGGCAGGCCGAGATCTCAGTAGAGCAGGGGTGAAGGTCGTATGTCTCAGGCGAGAGGCGACAGATGATGTAGATGTCAGAGCGCCCAAAGGCTGAAGGGTGGTCATGATGCTGTCTCATGGTAAGAATGCTCTGGTACTCTAAAATTTAAGCATGGAATAAGATAACGTAAAGAATGTTAGTTTTGAATATTTCAATTGCAAATGACAAAATTAAAGTGTAAGGGCACTTTGTTGTTCATAAATAAATTTGGTACTCTTGAACGCTATTAATATATTATTTTAGGGCTCATTCCCAATGAAACTACAGTTTTACATAGATCAATCCAACTCAGCAAGGATTCTTACTGAATGCAATCAGTTTGTAAGATTAACACGCCTCCTGCTGTTTGCAACATGCTCGTATAATCACTAGCTTTTCTGTATTCTACTTAATGCCAGGAGGGGGCGTGTTAATCTGATCCATTATATTCAGCTAGAATCCCCGCAGAGTTGGACTGATCAATTAAGACCAATAGTTTATTTCATAAAATCATTCTTCTCATTTTAAAAATGAGCTTCTCTAATTGAATATGAGGTATCCTTTTAAAGGCAAAATATTCTGCAAATTCCAATTCTATATTTTTTTGTGAAATTTTGACATACTTGCTCTTATTCCAGTTTCTTCAAAAACTTCTCTTTCTGCTGTATTTTCTGGTAAATTAAAAAAAAAAAACAAACAAAAACATTAACTCAATGACCATTTGATACTGCATGAAAAAGGCATAAAATGTGAAAAGCATAAAAAAAAATCCATCGCAGAATTAGTGTTTTAATATGAAACATCTAGTAATATAATTGATTGTTGTCAAATGTCTGAACAATATGCTTTTCCCCTCTCTGCAAATTAAACCGACTGATTGTAATTTAATACAAATACTTCTTTACTCTAAATGCAATCAACATGGACTGACTACCTAGTTATCTTTAGTATGATTTGCTGCATTAAGATAACAATGGCCTTCCATCTCTATTGTAAATACCTGACAAAAGTCATCTCAAGGATTACAGTCTTCAGGTATGTTATCTTTACATTGTAATTAAGCCCTCCACTTGCTCTTTTTAAAATACTGAGAACTAATGCCGTTATGTGGAATGTTGTTAATGTCTTCCAAAAGCATATAAACAACTAATGCATCATTCTCAATTAAAAAATGTTAAGAGTTTTTTTTCAGTAATTATCATAACTTGTTATATTTTTCATTAACACTTGCTCCAAGCATTTCATGCTAATTAAGGATTAAGCCCTCCACTTGCTCTTTTTAAAAAACTGAGAACTACTGCCGTTATGTGGAATGTTGTTAATGTCTTCCAAAAGCATATAAACAACTAATGCATCATTCTCAATTAAAAAATGTTAAGAGTTTTTTTTCAGTAATTATCATAACTTGTTATATTTTTTTCATTAACACTTGCTCCAAGCATTTCATGCTAATTAAGGACATTTGTAGTTCCCTTAACAGTAGTAATATTTGCATTTTGCTGTAACCTTGTTATTTTTTCAATCAATTTTTTTCCAAACTACCAGTGAGTCTCCATCTTTAAGAACACCTCCATCTTTCAACATATCATTTTGCACCATTTAGTTTGAAAAAGTGGGCAGGAAAGACAAATCTCAAGTTTCTGACTGGTCCATATGGTCCTGCAGGGAGGATCAGCACTACCTGTATTTACCATCATTACCCCATGGTGATTATAATACCATATCCTGTGCTGAGATATAATCTGACCATTCATGGGGAAGCAGGGCCTTAATTACTGGCCAGGTGATCATCTAACTTGGAAGCACCTATCCCATGGACTATCATGTCTATTTTGTGTTCACACCTGGATATGACTTAACCGCTGACACTGGTAGGTATAGCACTAAAAGAGGTATGCCAAGGCTATCACTGATGTAATTTAAACATGCAGGAGATATCATCTAAGCTGATGACTAGCCCATGATACATATATATCTACTTAATTATTCTCATACCTGGACATGTATTAAGCACAGGAACAGGTATCTGTAAGTTGTGTATGTTTTAACATTCTACACCTTAACTTCACTGCTTCTAGTTTACGCAGTCTTAATTTAAGTTACCCATGAAACATTTTCATTTTAAACAGGTGAGTTGCATTTGACTTAAAAGCTATACTATCTGAAAGGTTATATCATAACCTGGCCATGGTTAATAATGAGATGGCCATCATATGGTATCTGTTATATATATAGCATTCAGTACTTAGCAGAGTCTGGGTGCAGAGTATTCTATGCGCAGAGAAATTTGAGTTCATAGCAAATTAGGTAAGCAATATCTATACTACAGCATGTGAGCCACAAATATAAGTTCCAGCATTAGAGATGCAAAGTTGGAAGCAAAACTGCAGGCAATAATCCATATATATTCAACATATGGACATTACAACATAGTGAAAATTGTGTCCAACTCTGATACTGGACTTTGCATTAGCAACTGACTGATCTATTATACCAGATGATTAAAAGCATTCACTCATTAACAACATAGTATTTAATAAGACTAGGTTATTAGGCAAGAGTAAGGACTACAGGTTCAATCACAATATAGTAATTTAAATGAAAAGAAATGTGTACATAATGAAATAATCAACATCTTTAAACACCAATCCATCTGTCAAACAACTAGGAATTTGTAGCCTTCAGAAAGGTAAATGCTTGTATGCAAAAGCTCCATATATTCAAAAGGGTAAGGTTAAAGGATATAAAGTGATCAAAATGTCCGGGACGACCAGTACGTCACTTCAGAAACTGTAAGGATGTTGGAAAGGACTTCACTTTAAAATTTTCCAATGCATGATAAATTGTAAAATTGAGTCAAGTTGCTGTGAACAACTAAGTAGTCAAAAGTGCACTGAATAGACTTTTATACTATAATAAAATACTCTGAAATCTACTGATAAAAGCTGGGCAATGTCTCTTTATGTATGTCATATGAACACACATATCTATAATGTGAATTGGGAAAAAATATTAATTTATATATTAATGCATTTTACACAATTCCACATTCTCTGTCCCATTCATGCAGATATTACATCAATGTATAGAGAAATTACATAACCACAGTTGGGCAGTATTATCAAATTGATTGCTGTTGTTCAAAGTAAACACTTCATATGTAAGTTGTTTGAATCAATATATGTATACAATATATTATTGATGTGAGTAAGACAAGACCATAGGAGGTGGTGTACACATATGGTGCATATTGAGTATAGAAACTATAATTTCCACTGTAAGTAAGCTCCTCTTAACTTTGCAATATAACACAGAGGGAAGAAGGTTTGTATTATAGAATATGGCAAATAAACCTCAAACAACTGCAACTGCTTTATCTTTCTTCATTTAGCTTCTTCATTTAACAAATGAAGATAGCATATTTATACTTGATCAAAGGTAGATTTATCTGAATATAAGGGCTAATTTGAATATTATTCAATGTACTTCACATTCAAGATATAGTCGGTAATTTTTTCCTTACACTATAACTGATATTATGTATTTAAAACCATTTCAGGAAAAGAACCAATCATTCACTCAAATGGAGTCTTTGGAAGACCATTCAGAAAAAATGGAGTCTTCAGAAGATGAATATGAATTTAACATGGAACCTTTAATAGACATCTTAGTAAGTGTGAAGCATCCAGATGACTATCCCCCAATGCAAGACTTCACAGCTAACCAAGTGCACAAAAAGTCCCCCAGAGACAAGCCACATGACAAAGACTTCCCTGGAGCTGTCTCAGAATGGGCCGAGAGTCCTGGAGGCACACTTAGAGACATCTGTGAGGCTTCCCTCTGTGAGACCATCACAAAGGAGAACATAAGCGAAAGGTTCATCTTGGGCCACAGATACAACATGCAAACATTGCTGAGGTCATGTACTGAGTTTCTATCCTTAAACTTTATGCTCATAGACAAGAGGGATTTGTATAAAATAATAATTAATCAAGGCCAAGTGATGGCTTTGGTTGAAAACCTTGTTTGGCTGATTGAAGATTTGCAACACAGCAACAAAAACAATGGACAATCAAGTGAAAAGAAAGAGAGTAGCACGGATGGGTCTAATGATGATGATAATGATGATAATGATACAGATGCCAATTATGAAGAAGATAATAGTGCTATTAACAGTGACACTGAAGAAAACTGGGAAGCTGAAACTTATGACATTATTCCATGACTATCTTAATTGTGGGCAAAATAAAACCTGAATGCCAATTTTGCCACAGAAGACACAAACTTTGTACATTTAGTTAAAATTATTAACAACACTTCTTTATGGCTTCAGGTTTTGAAGCTATCAATAAGTAATATCTGTGTAAATAGTTTTAATATTTATTAAAATAATTTAAAATCCTTTTTACCTCCTAATATGTTTTTTTTTACTGTCATGTAGCATTGTACATACATGTAGCTGGGCTGTAACCAATGTAACAAGTACTCATTCAGGCCATATAAAGATCCATGTATTAGTTGGGCACTAGTACCATATGTTTGGCATTTCCTACAATTAGACAGACTTATTCTTACAGTAATCGTTGAATATGTTTTAAAATCTGCCATCCTTTGCTATGAATTTTTAAAGATAAATCTATTTGTTTCAAATGTAGAGTGAGTTATTAGAGTTATGACCTATCAAGGTAGGAACAATATTGTGCAGAAGTTGAATTGTGCATCAAGCTTAATTTGACTCTATAATTATGTTGGTAGTACAAGACCAAGATTATTAACTTAAAATATTTGTACAGCACTGATTTTCATGTATTAACTTAAAAAACCTACACATACCTCTATACTACTATTTACAAGGTGTTCTACTGCATATTTGTATTGCACTTGTTAACCCACTTACATATGTGTAAGACCTCTCACAAGGTAACAGTTCATAACTCTAGATCACTATGTATAAGTACTAGTAGTATTCCTTTTTATTTTGAAGTGGGTATTTAATAAGGGTTTTTAACACCCGCTTTTTATTATTTTCATTTGCAGGGCCAATTTATTTATATATATATCTAACAGTCAGTCAATTTCCATATGTTATTATTTGGTGACCAGATTTTCAAAAAGTGGGTAGTTATCATTTGTACAAATAATACAAGTAGATTCCTACTGTACCAGGGGATTATTTATAACAAAGTATTTATGAATGGTTTCTCTTTGATCTATGTTTTAAATAAATCATATGAACAAGAGAATGCCTAATTTTAACTAATATAATGCATAATATACACTGTGCTTTTATGTCATCATTTTTTATACAAAATAAGCTTGTTGGTATTGTTTGATAAAAAAAATTCAATGTGACAGTATTTTTCTAAGCTACTTTTATACTGTAATATTCATCATTTAAAAGTCTTACCTATATCTTCCCCTAAGTCTGATAATCCACCAGGAAACTTCCACAAGGGACGCTGAAAGTCAGAGATAACAATGTTATACTACAGTCAGGCTTACAGCAGTTTCTTAAGGTTTGTTTGCCTCCAAACCTAGTAATAAACTAAATTCAAGTGAAGTATCCAGATGATCAGATTATGCAGGGACCTCAACAAAGAATTCTAAACAAGTCCATGTTCAGCAACAGAGAGTCAGAAAACTGATTTTAAAAGTACATTTCTGGTTTTGTTAGTCCAGTTTAAAATGTATCCAGCAAGATCAGAATAATACCCCTCTCCCCAAAAACAAACAAACAAAAGGTTTTTTCTTAAAGGGACAACATAGTTATGTGTATTGTTCTGGCAAATTTTGTCTTAGTTTTAGGCCCCATTCCCACAGATAGGTCTATGTGGATCAGCCCAACTCTGCAGGGACTCTCGCTGACTGTAATCAGCTCAACTGAATGACACACCTCCTCCGGGCATTAAACAGAATACAGAAAAGCTGGTGATTATACGAGTATGTTTGAAACAAGAGGCGGTGTATCATTCAGTTAAGCTGACTGCACTCTGTGAGTGTCCCCACAGAGTTGAGTAGATCCATGAAGACTGAAAGTATCTATGGGAATGGGGTCTTAGATTCAAAATGTTATGAATCTTTGTAAATTTACTCACTTTTCTGTGCTTGTCCATTACAACCACAACTTCTCCTGTTTTCTCATTCAAAACAAACCCTGAGACAAGAATTTAAAAAATACTACTATAATAAAATAAGCTATGCAAAGAAAATTCAACATATATCAATCTTTAACTGCACTATACTCTACCCATCTTACTTATATGGGTACAGAGTATAGGCTACTCAGTGCAGCTAAAGATGATGATATAATACTATATTTTGTTGTACATTAAATTAAGCTCTGGTCAAAGAACTATTTTTTCTGCTGTCTACATAGCAAATTTATTTTCAATGTTTCAGTCTGCATAGGGCATGTAATTGTAATAAAACATCTGGCAAATAAAACACACATCTGAAAAGTGCCAAATTTCCAAATTGCAGCACCTACATGTACTTTATAAACATATTTTAATTTGCATGTTGATAGTGCTATTTAATCATCCACCTACATGTAGTACGTTCATTCACCCAAATATAAAATGGTAATCAGTTTTCACATTGAAGCACAGACTATATTTTTTTCAAGTGCTGTCTGTGTCAGTTCTACTGAACTCATCACATACTTCTGATCTTTAACAATGAACTTTCATGTTTTCTGGTGCTACTCTCATGAATAACAAATATTTAATGGGTTTACTTTTCACTTAAAAACTATCATGTTGGGCCTCTGTTTTTTACTGTGAGGTTTTATCTATTTTCATTTATTTTATTCAAGAAAAATAATAAATGCTAACTAAATTAACCATAAATAAATTCCATATTTTCTTAAGTCAGATGAAATCATCTTCAGCTTAACCTGTACCTGCTACCCCAACTTGATGTGTGGCGTATCTTGGCAGTCTTGATTCTGTAGTGTTATCCATCCACAGAGTTAACATGGCACTGTCACCCTCTGCATGGTGGAAGGTGAAGCCCTTCCTGGCAGCCACTGGAATAAACCTGCCCTGCTGGATGGGTACCTTCAGCCACACAGCTCTTTTGCCTAAGCTTTTCCATTCTAACAGTGCATCTGGAACATATATAAATCTTAACAGTTACAAATCATGACCCACTTCTGCAGAGAAAATTGCAATATACAACTAAAGTAAGCTATTACAAAAAGTTGAATCTTCTGTTTAATTTTTATAAATTATAAACTTAGTAAAATATGATCAAGATAATAAGACGCTTTTTCAGTCACAAATACCTTCAAGAATATTTTGGAAATCATATTCAGACTTTTCAACAGGAATCTGTGCCAAGTCCACAGTGACACCATTAAACTTGTCTTCTGTGAAGGTGAGAGGATTCTGCTTGAAATGCCTAGCTTCAATGGTCTGCTGTTGTGAACAATGGCGACAAGATGCTGTCTTCTGCAAGCCGAGTGTCCTGGATAATAGTTTCTGTTGATGTGGCCATGTCATTAGTCTTATTAAACTTTTCATTATCTGAAATGAAAATTAACTTTTACCTGGTAATGAGTAAAAAATTTACTCTGATTCTGAAAAAGTTATGCTTGCAGGACCTGCTCGGCACTAATGTGACGGAAAAGAGAAGGTTTGTGGGTATTAGACACTAAGTACTGCTGCTCTGAACGAGTCAACAGACTGTACACAAACTATAGAGACACAAACTGTAGGTGTGCATTTTTTAAACTACTAGTAGTAGTACTGGTAATGGCAGACATGCACAAATGTCGGCTTAAAAAATACTAAACCGATATTGGTCGTTATTTGTGGCATTACACTCACTAGGGTGGTACCCTTCAGTCGTTTTACGTGGTTTTTAGATTAATTTACAGGTCAAGGTAACAGCCAAGAATGGAATTATGAAACTAGTTGAAATTTTATGATGAAACACTACCGTACAACCCAAGGGAAAACTACATTTTTCTTTTATCCTGTCAAAACATACACCAAAAAACATACCAGTTGAATCCAAGCAAATGGAATGCAACAGCCTGTATTTATTCAAATATCTAAAGTGTTTTATTCGCAAATTATTACCAGGCAGGCCAACCTTGCCGTCTGCTGTTCAACCGGAAATCAAGCAATTTTGTCATCCCGCACGAAATGTTGTGAAACTGGTTTTATCTCTGGAAGAAAAAAGTGAACAGACTTATCCATCTTCAGAAAATGACTTATACTGAAAAAATATGCCCAAAGTACATAAAATGTAGAAATAATTTTTATTAAAAGATAAATTAATATAATGTCCAATCAGAAAGTCCCGTTTGCTTTTCTCTTTGTCCGTGACAGTTTATATTTTACGGCCAAAAGTTACAGGGAAAACTCGCACCTAAAAAAGATAAACAGTGCATGGAGAATGGAAAGTGGTGCTAGATATCAAGTCGTAAGTGAGCTTTGATAATACCTTCATGTTTTTGATTGTGTGATTGAAATATTTTGACTTCGCTCATCCAAATACAATCTGGATTATCATGACCAAATTATATTCTCCCTTCTCATCATGTTTGCATTATGATAGATCATACATGATGCTAGAAAAATTACCAGGAATGGCTTGACAATGAATGTATCGTTACTGTGTCTGTGGTCTGTTTATCAATGGATTTATTATTTTTGGTAAAAAAGTATAAAATTGTCAGTTATTGTTTTCATATGATGTAGGTGGTATCATGATATTTTGCCACGTCTTTTAATTTTATTAACTTTTTTGGTCATATTTATTTGTAAAACTATGTAGGTAGTAGTCTATGCTCATGATTTTACCTTATTTGTGAAGGTGTATATCAATTAAGAAATCTGAATATATTGTTACAGTGTCATTTGATGGAAAGCATCTTTTATCACAACCGAACATAATTACAAACCTTCCATAATATCACAAGTAAAATTATGCTTTTTTTGTGTTGTGCCACTAAGTGAATATATGTGCTTGGTATGTGTATATTATAGCTCCAAGAGGAGGAGGAGTCTTCCGTACCAGCCCAGGCAGTCCCTTTGGCCATGGTGATAGCGCCTGTTCCACAACCCTCAGTTATGGAACACAGTGAAGTTCACACAACCCCACCACCAGGTGAGTCTAAAAGCTGAATAAACACTTTTTAAATCAGTTGTAGATTTGTTGGACTAGAATAGTAAAAAAGTTTTTATTTTAGTCCATTCAGATAATAATCAGATTTGAACCTAAGATGGCAAACACAGGTTTTAGATAGTGACATTTTCAGTTTAAAGTGGATTGATATTTAAGCAGGGGTGGATTTAGGCCGTCTGCTGGGTCTTCCAGAAGACGGTTAGATTTTCAAGTTTACATAGATGGATATTTAACTTTTTCTGTCGGAAGATGGTCAAAAATGAGGATGGATCAAGAAAGATATTTTGGAAGACTGTCAGAAAATATCTCTGGATCTGCCCCTGTTAAGGATCTATTTCCTTATCCACTTAGATAATGCAGACATAAACATTGTCATGTTATGAGATAATCCTGTCACTTCAAAAATGCATTGGGGTGATGACATAACAGTTTTCATATTGCTAAAATGATGGAGCTTTTCCTTTCAGCGTACAAGGAGTCTGATTTTATCCCACCACCATACGATGTGGCCACTAAACTGCCAAGTTATGAAGAAGCAGAGATATCGAAGCAACAAATGAAACATGATGAAGAAAGCAATTCTTACTTTGATGTGAGAGAATTTTGATAAAATTATTTTTAAAAAAATCAATCCATTTCTACTTAGTTTCTAATTTGTACCACAACACTTTAAAATATTTAAAGAGGATTGATACTGCATATTAATACTTACCTATTGATTGAATTACTGTTTCTTCTAATGATATTTGAATTAAAATGTGAATATGTCTGATCTAGTTTCCTGCTAAGGGGATGTAGTTATAGCTGTAACATTATCATATTAGGCTGACTATTTAAAAGATGGTTTAACCAGGTGAAGAAAGTTTGAATATTTATGATATTTTATCATCTGTTTGCAGCAAGTTTCAAGTGAACAGTTTGATGAACTGACCCTTGGGACAGATGGGATATTTATGTGCACATTTTTAAGTAGGTTGCCTCTAACAAAGTACAATATAAGTGAAAGAATCTTATAGTAGGTACTTAAGGCTAGAAAGAGTAAGAATGCATAAATTAATTCATTAACAGATAAGTGAACACCAAGTTTTTCTGTGATTAGATATATGAAAGTAAGCTTTGTAATAAGCTTAAAAATGAGAATATTGTATCGTGGGAATAAACTTGTTTCCCTCTTCTTGAATCCAAAATCAGGACACATTTTAGATTATAAGGAATCGTAATATGAACGCACCATGACTGTAAGTTATCAAAATGATAGTAAACTCAAATTATAACTTTCATATTGACAAATTAATATTTGGCCAAATGTCAGTATTTTGTCTGTCTAGTCAGTTATATCTTGTATTGCTTCAGTTGCATTCCTGTTCAACTGGTTTGGCCTGTTGTTTGCCATGTGTGCATCCACCACTATAGCTGGTAGATTTGGAGCCTTTGCTGGCTTTGGACTCTCAATGGTCAAGTGGGTGGCCATTGTCCAGGTAAGAAATAGTGCTCAAATGATATTACACTGTTAAGCAAAAAATCAAATGGAGTTTGGCTTTGACACTTAAAGCTGTTATGGATCTGAGTGCGACTACTAGACAAACAGTTTGGTTGACTAGTAAATAACTGAGTGGAAACTAAGCTGTATGACTTTGAATATTCCCCTTCCCCGTCCCTTGTCCGACTTCAGTCAGAAGACTATCTGTCAAATCGGTTCTGCTTTGAGGGGTATCTGAAACAACATTGATCAAATGGCTTATGAGTATAGTTGACATCTTTGGATCCAGGATAGTTTAAGTTGGACAGATGTTAATGTATGTACTAAATTATGCTTATTACCTCTTGTGGGGCATGGGTGACCTTCAAGTTCCCTTCATATGTCCAATATCATCTCAAGCTGTCTCCAAGCTGCCTAGTTTCTTGGTGTCTGCCTTTAGGTCATGGTGCCAGGTGTTATATGGCTTACCCCTCTGCCCTTTTCCTTGTAGGTTCCAGTCATGTGCATTGGATGTGAGAGTAATTTCAACAGTATATTTTTCCAATAATTTTCCTTTTTAATCTTAAATGAAGTTTAGCCAAGTGATATGTATTTTTTTTAATGTCCTTAAGTTTTATTAAGATATGTTTGATAATAACTCTAACATGGGTGAATGTTCCTTTGTAGCATAGTCACTGGATCAGTGGTTCTGGATATGCAGATGCTGACTCCTGGCTCTGGTGGTTGCTAATGTTTTTAGGTGAGTAATTTACTTGTACAAGAAATCTTATTGTCAGTATCATTTATAAATGTTTAATATAAATCTTTTTGATTTGCATGCCCTTTTTTTCGGGGAGGCACAGAGAGGGTTTTGCATTGATTATTTTCAGTGCCCTCCTGAAAATTATACTTGAGTATCTCAAGCACAAGATGACTAACAATCTCTGCTAAAATCTTTACTGGTCTAAATAGACTTAAAAGTAGTAAAGGTGTCCAGAAACTGAAGAAATTTCAAATATTTTACAGCCTGGCCTTCAATTCTATATTGGCATTTAGCGTTGGGCCAGTGTTAACATTGCTGACTGTATTAGCCTGTTTGATGAAGAGGGGCAACACTTTTTATCATAATTTGTGAAGGTATCCTCAATTCTAACATCAAATTGTGATTTATTTTAGGATTCCTGATATTTTTCCATGGCTGTGTGAGATATGTGAGTGTGAAATACAAGTGGCAGAGACTGTCATCTCAGTCTCGCAGCAAGTTCATGTTCTACATGTGAGGTAAGCATTGCCCTATCAGTTGCATAATGTTTATAAATGCTGTGTTAAATAGTTACAGGTATTTTCTTATTTACTTTTTTCCCCAGCTGAAGTAAGTATTTTTATGTCTGTGGTTATTCATGCTGCACAGCCTTAGAATCACTCTAACGTTTTTTCTCAAGTTTATTTTTTATTTATACATTTTCTTTTTAGCAAAATAACTTGTTATTCACTTTTATTATCACGGAACAAAGTGTAGCATATCAAGCAATTGACATATGTTTTATTTGCTGGCATCTACCAAGCAGAAACATCTGTCATTAGTTAGGTTGTGGTTACATATATTAAGAAATCCCCATTTCTGTTGCATACATGGGGAAACTGCCTGCCTGACAGGTCACGATCACTTAAAATTTGACTGGACTGGCAAGGTCTATGTGAAAATACATAATAATAATAATAATAATAATAATAATAAATTACATGTTAACATAGACTACTGGAAGTACTTAGTTCAGACCATCACAGAATTGACAAACCTGTAGATTTCTACTTGTAGTGCAGGTCTTCCAGACCTTTGGTATCTCCAGAAGTTTCCCTATGTCTGTTCTGCTGTCAATACCAGCAATGCCATATAGGATATATAATGCATGCTTGTAACAATGAAATAACAGCTTTTGCAGAATGTGTTTGTGGTCACACATTGCTTGATACATGTGTTTGGATGTACCAGCTTTTTGATGCATAGAATATAACATTTTCTCTTTGTATAAAAATGAAATAATAAAACTGCTACATTTTTTTGTCATGGCCTTATAAATAGAGTAGTTAAAACCTTTTTCCACTGTTAATCTTTCTGTATCCTTGGTGCAATTTGAAAACAGATAAATGTGCTGGTAAATGTGTTAGATGAGATGCGGTTGTGTCAGATGATTGTGCCAAACGCCACTGAAACCATCATGGTTGCGCTTGCCATGGCATGGTGACTGAAATATGGTAATGGCTCATTGGCTCCTTCCTCATTCCAACTCATATGAGTTCTCAAGCTGTCAAAATATTTCTGTGATATGAATCAGTCGCCACATAGTGTGTCTGTAACTAGGCTAATTTGTGCTTGATATCATTTTATCAAAGTGCAGTGGTTATTGGGTTTAACCTTCAGCTGGATTTCCAGTCTTCCATTAGATTAGAATGCTTCTCATGTATTTCTGTATGCAAGTACTTTGTATTCCAGAAATGCCTCTCACTGAACACTTCTTATGCTTTGAATGCCTCTTGTCATTTTGAGATTTATGTTAGAAGTTGTGACTAAAAGAAAAATGAGAAGATTTTTCATTGAGTGGTGTGAAGTATTTCACATTTCTGTCTTCTACAATTTCTTACTCTGTGTGTTCAGCTAGTGTTAGGTGAACTCTGTTTTACTTTGGTTTCACAACCCTATGTCTTTGACAAAATGTTCCAAATTTAGGACCCTTATTCCTCCCAAATATTTAAAAAGTCATATTTCTAAAAGCAGTGTTCTTTTAGTAAAGCCTAAGATAAATTAGCTAAATGTCAAAAAGAAAGATTTTGTGAGGAAATTAATTTCAAAGTATTGGGGAAAAATATATCAGAATAAATAAAGTAATTCTAATTTATGAGTAATTGCCATGACAGAGATTATTATAAAACTCCGACATGATTGATGCTAACCAAACACTTGTATACAATCATGCACTTGATTGTTATTTCCTCACATATCAGTGAATTTTCATGTTTTTGTCAGACAGATATCTAATCGGCCATGACTTATTAAAAGTTTGTTGTAACATGTTTAACAGAAAATCTACACATTTCACTGATGGCAATCCCAATGATACAGCAAAGAAGTGAGTTCAGGTGCAAGTCTGACATAACACATGGGAACAAATTGGACATTCCCCCTCATTCCATTGACCTGTCATATTAAACAGAGGCCTCTCATTCACAGACCAGCAATTATGGTGCTCAGGTGTGTTCAGTTTTGTTTATTTTGCATGGCCAATCTCTAGCCAAACAGGTAAACAACTGCACCTTTCCCAAAGGAAAAACTCCCGAGCCATAGGGTCACACGCAGGAAGTAAGAGGATGGGGGATTAGAGAGGTTTGTTTTCAGTTGCATGCTTCACTGGGTAGTTGTAAAAGCCCTTAGATCTATCAAGGGGTCATTTCATGACATTGTTAGACTGTGAAATACTATCCCTGGGCTCTGTGTGACAGTGTAAGACGTATACAGGTAGTAGGAAGTCTCTGATGTTGCATTGAATGGGTAAAACTTTGATGCAGTATTTTGTGTAGGGGAAAATAGCTGTGAAAAGATCGTCAGGATTCAAATGTTTAGGTTCTAAATATGTTTTAGTGTACAAAGTAAGAAATGGGGAATAAAAGCTATATATTATTTCTGCATCGTAATTAGAAGAAGGAACAGTAGAATTTGATTCATCTTCATCTCAAAGTTATAAAAGTGATTCCAAGTACGAAAGTGCTGTTTTTGCAGCATATCGCTTGTGATCAGCACATACTGAACCTGAGCTCTATCACTGACATTTGTTTGTAACAAACACAAAATCTCATCAAATCTCATGAACCGTTCCCTCAATGGTATTATTACTGTGCACCGATGTGCGTGTCCAGTCAGCTGAGAGTCTGACAGCTCAAACACAATAGGGACTGCCCCCAACCCGACCATACTTCCTGTCTGTGTAAGACGTCCTCTGACCCCTGACGATAGCTCGGGCTGCGCATAGCTGACAGCCTCCACATTGCTTACTCGAGCAGAAAGCTCTGCGCTATCTTTGAAAAGATTGGCAGGGCTAGGATGGGTCCAGGTGTGGGAAACGGTAGAGCGCAGAATCTATGGTTTAGGTCGAACAAAGTTGATTAGTTGGGTTACAGGATAAAATAAATAGGACTGTATTATGTTTGGAATCGCTGAGGATGGTTGTGGTTAGAGGTCTTGGGGAGAATGTGTGTTGCAGGATTGAATAATGAAATTGATATATTTTCAGTCTTGGGTCATTTGTGTTTTTTTTTTTCCATGTATTTTTTCCTTGGGTGAATTAAAAAAAATTTTTTCAAAATTTCATACTTAATAATGTTTTTTTTTGGTTTTTGTACTTCCTTTTATTATTATTATGATTATTACTGTTTTATCCCAAAGAGATATTTTTAATAATCCCTCACCTCAAGGCCTAATGGACACATCCCTGAATATTTCAAATTAATGTGGCATAGCAGCCAGTTTTAGTAAGTGATTGTTAGCTTATGATTGTTGTTAAATAGTATCATCTTCTGAAATGGGCTTGCATTTGGCATGAAAATTCAATGTACAAGTAATCCCCTTCCATATTGTTCCCCTTTTCTCTTTTTGTCTCCTCTCTTCCTCCTTTCTCCTTCCCCTTTCTCCCATTGCTCTCATCCTCCACCCCAAACTCGCACTTTCTCTTTTTGTTCTCACTTGTCCTTCCTCCTTCACCCTCTCTCTCTCTCTCTCTCTCTCTCTCTCTCTCTCTCTCAGGATATATGAGTGCTGTGCCTAATTAACTCCTAATCAAGGCATGATAACATACAATCCAGGTAGCATGGTAGGAAATTGGGTAACCAACTTAAAATATTTCACTGATAAATCTATCTGTATGATTTTATCAAAATGTATCTGGCAGTCCTGTCAGGTTTGATGTATGCTCAGCTTACCAGATAGAACAGCTTCATTAGCATTTATTTAATGTACCATGCTTTTACTGTCATGATTCAGTGTTTTCTACGCAAGTTATCAAATATAGATGCTGGCTATTTTACCTAAGAAATGCAAAGTGAAAGTTGTGAAGTGAACTGTTGTATGATTTTGTAGATGATATGTTTCACCATTTCTCATCCTCGTGAGTCGTGACAATCGACATTCTGTAAATGTGAACATAATATATTTATAATCTGTTGCGTACTACGGTAAGATTGTGTTGTTATGGGCAGTTTGTGAGAGTTTGTGTTTGTGCACAATTGTGTGTGTGTGTGTGTGTGCGTGCGTGCGTGCGTGCGTGCATGTGAGAGAGAGAGAGAGAGAGATTTTAACCATGGCAACCAAGTTGCTATGTAGAAAAAATGCAATGATAAGCCCAGAACACTTCTATCTTATATCTGTATATAAATAGCTTTGGAGGGTTTTTTTCCCTTGTAAAGTGCAGATGCACTTTGGCACTGGTAATATCTATTTGTTTATGTCTTCTTTTAAGAATCAGTCAGTCTGCCAGTCTTATCTGTTTTTAAAAACCATTACCTTAAAGAAAACAAAAAAAAAACAAAAAAAAAAAAAAAAAAAAAACAAATAAAACTAAAAATGCTAGTTATCATTAATAAAACACCTCATATCAAGATTCTGTTGATATTGACTGCTTCTTACTTTTTGCCAATTATTGAAAATAAGGTTATGTTTACAGTGTATGAAAATGTCATTTTAAGAGGCATATGTACTTCATTTGACATGCAAACTTTTTTAATTCTTATTCAGTCAGTTTTATATATTAAAAAGTTAACCTTACAAATTATCTTAGAAAAAGTCCAGGATGTTTGGTCCATTTACTAGAACGTGGTTTCTGATATTTCACAGGTTATGAATAATTGATGAATGCAATTGCAAGGTGCGCCAGTGGTAAATTAAGTGCGAAAAATTGTGGTACGTCTTTCAATAACTTTAACAACTTCCGTTTCCTTGTTAAAGAACACAGCTTTCACCATGTGACATGCCTGGGTGAGACGTGATTCTATGAAATTTATGTGTACATTATCTAAGCAGTCCTTGAGATTTGATAGTGATGTATTCAGCCCTAATGTTCCATTTGCAAGGATTCTTTACTATAGAATAGATCAATATTTTATTTATTCAAATTGTGAGCAGAAAATCAAGAATTAAGGAATGACATGTTTTTTTCTTTTTTCATAATATCAGCAAGTTGAGCAGTCTAGATGAAATTATCAGCCTACAGTGTGCTGTATGCAAAAGACATTCATACAACAGTATATGGTAGTAGATAAAAGAATGCATTTGACTGGTATGAAATTACATTGGCATAAAGATGATGGACCCATCATTTCTGTGTTAGTTTGCAGTGGCTTGATATATAGCATTGGTCTCTGGTAGAGAAGAACTAAAGGAATTGTTTTAAAAAAATCACATTTCCTATGTAATACAGATCTGGTGAACCAAGTCACTCAATCATGACCTTGGTTATTATTTGATCTCAGAAGAATCACTTCATAGCCTGAATGAAATCGTGTTTTTCTCTGATTATTTATTTCATTTATTATTCATATAGTTCGATTGTGTTATTTTGAAGTTTGGGATGGTGATTGACAGTTTTTGCACATTTAAATTGTTTGTTAGGTGAAGTATACTTACGGTGAATGTCTGTCTTGCATTTTATTTTATTGTTCTGTTTGAACCTTTGTAATGTGTGCTGAAGGTGTTGTATTCTTGAATACTTTTGATGTCTGTATAATTCATTGAATGGAGTTGGTTCTAACAACACTTCTTTTTCAGCTTTTAACAAGGCTGTATCAAGTTTGTGGTTTGCGGTCTGAGCAAAGAGTGCATATCATATATCATGCAATGAATGTAAAATGCTTAAAACTGTTGCTTTTATTGGTGTAAGTGTAGTCGTGTGGAGCAGTATTTGTTTTGTAACGTTTAGCTGGAGGCTTGTAATAGGGAAAGGATTAACCTCAACCGCTGCCTCTCCTCATCTGTCTAGATATTAAAATTGATAAATATTAATGAAAAATAAATTGGTAATGATTATTTTATGAAATACACATCTGTTTTAATGCTACTATGTAAATTGAATGGTTTTGATGCTTGGACAACAGGAAGCCATTCATTCATAATTCAATATTGAGAGGTGTGGATGTTCAAATAAATGTTAATGTGTATTTACTTGACTAAATTTCTTCCATTGATCTTTTACAGAGCTCTGAAGATTAAGCTGAATGGGTGCAATGTGGAAATATTAAAAAGGACTTATTTCAAAAACATATTGGAGACATTTCTCATCGGTTCTTAATGTAATCACAATATAAAATGGATAATGTTGCTACCAGAACTATGATAATATATTAAAAATTTCAGTTATTACAGATTTTTTTTCTCGTGTACTCTAGTGCATGTAGTAATATATTGCATTGTCTGTACAGAGCATTTATGTGGTGAATAACCTGGTGCTGGGTCTGTGTGAACTTCTTTCATATTTTATAATGGTAATAGTATAACTTTTGCTGAAGGCTATATCCCAAATAAACACGTACAAATACAGATAGGAAAAATCAATCACTAAATTGTAAACTTCATAGATGGAGATAGTGCAATGTTTATGTTAAAATTCTAGTCATTCGTTCTGCATTGAAATATTCTGGATAATACATTGTTTTTAGAAAATAAATTGAATTATTGAATTAATGATGGTATTATATTGCAACAACAATTTATAGTAGGCTTTTGTCATAGTATAAGCTTATTATTTCATTTCAATTTTGAATTTTATTCAGACACTAAATTGGTCTATAACATATCATTCTTTTTTTTTTATTTTTATTTTTATTTTTTTTTTTTTTTTTTGGGGGGGGGGGACGGTGGCAGTGGAACGTTGGTAAAAGAATAATTTAAATAATATGAAAAATAATATAATCTTGCCAAATAACATATGTTGTTAGTAGCAGCAGCAGTTTTGATATATTACTGGTAGAATATGTTTAATAGCACTAAAAACAAAATGTTATCGGGTCACAAATATTGCTTTTGATAAGGGAGCAGAAAATGAGGTATAAATCTGCCTGTTTTGCAGAAGGCAGTTTGATGGAACAGGTGGTCTTATTGTGCTCTTCATGACAAGAGTAAAATGTAGGAGATCAAATCTGGCAAAGGTATTATAAGGAGATATAATCCTAAGTTTACTGTGTCGTGCTATTCAATACGTGAACTGTACAAGACTATATAGCCTGTAGTGGCAAATTGTAAACCCAGGGGAAGTGCTTTGTTGTATCAATAAATACTACAGAACGTGATCTTGTTGATTTTTTGTTATTCTGTAATTTATGAACTGACCCATGGAAAGAAGGCTGTTTTAGTTGCTTTTTGTTATTTTTATTTTTAGAAAAGTTGGTATAACTTGTATAGACTCTCTCAGACATTTTTTTTTTCAAAATTATGGCAGAATTCCAACTTTATTTATTTATTTATTTATGAGTGATGAAAATTATCGGCACATTAGTTTGAGGTCTACCTCGTTCCTACTTCACGTTCGTTTGTGTGTGGAAACGTGCCTCAAAATTTGCTCCAGATATTACATGAGAAATTAATACTCAAAGAATTTTTAAGCCCATTTCAAAAATCTAAGGCATCAGAATTTCCAGTGCTTTGTATATGTATGAAACCAGTCTTCAGTGCCATCTGTAACCTCTTCTGTGTGTTTCAAATAAAAAGAATACATTTGTGTAATACGGAATATGTCAATGACAAATTGCCTCTTTGATGGTTAGTTGTTAAGTTGATGTAAAACTAAATATATTGTGACCTAACTTGTTCTGCTTAACAATAATATTTGGAGGAAAGTTTCCATACACTGATACGAAATCTGTTAAATACCCTTTTGAAAGTTTTTAGTTTAGACTAGGACCCAATCTTCAATCCTAGGTTTAGATTGGGGGTGGGTGGGTGAAAGTATTAATAAAGAAGCAGCTTACACTTTTGAAAATTTCCAACTGTTAACTTGTACCAAGTCACAGAGTATGATTGGTTGGTGAAGTGGGCCATTCAAAGCCTAGTCAATGACAAACACTAAAACCCGATTTCATCTGAAATCTATAAGCTAATGTTACTTATAAGCCACACAGACTTATCATTGAACAAATACACAAATTTTAACCACAGATCACTTCATGTGCAAATTGCTTCTTAAACATTATGATTGTATTAATATTATATTAGGCGGAAAGGAACAAAGCTTTGATTTGATGAAAAACAATAGTTTGTGCAACTTAACATGAAGAGAAGAGTTCTAGGCTGGCTAATTGTTGCCTTCAAGTGACAGGATCTGTGGACCCCTTTATTGATATAAGAGTAGACTCAGCCAATATACACGGGGGTCCATATGTCACAGACGGGAACGGAAGTAAGGGTTATACTGCATCAAAGCAGATTTTGTAATTTGGCATCTGAGAGGATTTGGTGCACCAGTATGGGCATCTCAAACAGTTTTAATTGAAAATTGATTGGGAATTTTGTCAAGCAGATTTGATACTGTGTAGGGAAGGGATTTCTTACACCTTGGGGGACATCTGAAATAAGTCTTAGATCTAATCTTATTTGATTGATACTTGCTCATGGATAAGCCGACTTCTGTTGGGAAAGCTCTAGGGGTAAAGGACTTTTGCTTGAAATCATAGGTCAGACCAGAAGTCCCCCTACAATTAATTTTGGCTTTAATAACCCAGGAAGTTGGTGAAGTCTGAAAATCTTATCTATAGACTTGTTAAATTTGTCAGCTAGATTATAACAAATAACCTCATTATAGTTCAAAGTTGAATACATGAAATTGTGAATGAACATTTTGGGTTTTTTTTCTTATTTGCTTCAATGCTACACATAATACAAGAAGAGAAATGCCGTGGAGGAGAAGCTGTATTTTGTATTTTAAAAACATTCATTCATACAATGCGTGAAATATTCGAGATGTAAAAGAGAATGACATACTTTTCGTATTGTGTTTTATATTCAAGGAATTACAATTAATTTGTTTCTACATTACAATCAAAACAGCACAAAAAGACAAATTAGTACAGAAGCCCAATTCATAATTTGATAATCTACATTATTTTTAATAAACATTAAATTCTTGTCATGATCTGTAACATGTCATTCTAATTTTGAAATATTGTCTTGTCTTCGGCAAATTGATTTGGAGATATATTGCTGGTATTACTCTGTATTGTTGACCTACATGAATCCCACACCTAGGGGAGGTTGGACAGAGGATAAAAAAGGATCAAGTAAAAACCCTTTCACTATGTTCGTGGGAGGGAATGTCAACTCAATGAAACTTAACTACAACACAGATTTAAGTTGACAGGCCAGTCTTGGCAGGTAGGAAAGAACGTCTGTAAGGTGTAATTTGGGGTGAGGCTGGGTCTCTTACCCTGACTTTAAGAGCCAATCCAAATGGCGATCTCAAGATTGCATCCTGGCACTGAGGAGAGTGTTTGGTAGAGAATTATTGGAAACTGCTGCTTTTGATTGGCTTTGTTTTTAACCAATGAAGTGGTCTAGGTGGTTCACACTTTATACTTAGCTAAGTGTGATACTTGTCTTTTGAAAAATGTGGTGTTAGCCTGAAATCGGAGAGGGAGCTTACAAAAGCGTCAATCAAAATTTTGTGTAACATGAGAGTAAAATTTTTAACTGGATGTCAGCTGCATGCTGTAGCAGTGTGTATTTTTCCCACACTACTACCCAAGCACAAAAGTCAAGTTAGAACTTCCGTTTTTTCCAGTGTTTTTATTTTCCTTCAACATCAAATAGACCTGTCTCATATTTCATTCGATAACTTAAATGGCATAAATCACTGAAATGACAGAAAATCGCTGTAGAAATGACCTTGAATTTTGTTAATAAGGTGTCCACTTTCTCAGATATGTCATTCAAGTAAAATTTAGGAGGCCAAAGCATCTGCCAGTTCACATACTTTTGGTTAACTATTAAGGGAAACTGCATTTACTTTAAACTAAAGAAAATTTTGTTTTTCGAATAACCTTTAATATGAAACAAGTTTTATTATTTCTGTGAAACACACACACACACACACACACACATACACAAATTATATGATTAAAAGATGTTAATTTGTGTGCACATCTGAATATTTGTCAGTGGATGATGATTATGTATGCCCAGTGCATGCAAATACAAAGACAACAGACCTTTACAACTGAATGCCAAAAGAATATGGATGTGGTAAAAAAGTAACAGTCTTATCAGTAAAGAAAGGTCTCTCTTGACGGCTTTTTCCTGATGAAAATACTTTCTTGTCTTGTACATGGCTGATGAAGCTATTTCTACACCAGACAAAGGTGGCCTCTGACTTACACTGCCCTGGCCTATCTATGGAGATACCAGATGTTACAAATGGCATTGCAGGACATAATAATGGAAAAAGATGAAATAATATCATTGATACTCCTAATTATGATATAAGATGCACTAAAATCCCTATGCCAAAAGCGCTATAGCAGATGCTGAGAAAGATGTTAGTGCAACGATGTGGTCTTATTTCAGATTACCTGTTCATAGAAGCTATGGTCAGAGAAAAAAATATAATGAGAAATGGAATTGAAGCAAATAAATAAGATAACCAGAAGGACCATGAATTGCAGACTTTCCACAGACAGGTCTGATAAATAAAATAGATGTTTAGTCTTAATTTGGCATTTGCCAGTACAAACCCTTGGCTTGAGATCACAATTATCATTTGAGGCCTGATATAGGCAGAGGTTTTGCTTAAACCCTGTAACATGTCCCAAGGGGGGGGGGTGTTGTTCAAAAGGACCCCCTTTTGAATTAAGTTATTTTCATGTCATAATAGAGGGTGTTTTCATGCTTTTCTTTGCACTTTGCACAGCATAACCTGTGGTAACTCTCTATCTTTGTCTGAACTGACAGGCTGTCCCTAACATTTTTTTACTTTTCCTGTTGTTATTTTTTTCTCCTTTTCCCCTGTAATTTTAGTCTGTAAAATATACATAAATAACAAAAGAAATTTAAATCAAAATTACAGAGGACAATCTTGCTTAGATCAAAGACGATTCCATTATTTTCTGAGACAAGATGAGTATTTTAAAAAGGCGCCTTATTCTACTTTTAAGTATTTGTTCCTGAAAGGTTAACTGAGGCTGAATGCTCCAGGTGTCCTCCCACGCTTTGATAGCCTGGTTATCTACCTTCTTATCAGAGTGCCGTCAATATCTGCAGAGTAAACAGGAAATGTTGTTGAAGAAAGTTAATTTAGGAAATAGTAATAAAGCCAGTGTCTACAGCAAATCTTTGGCATGGCCTTGGGTTTCATGTCCATATGTAATAACATAGCACTGGATTTTATGTCTTCGTAATCTGATCTTTCTATTTTATTTCTGTTTCTTTTCTATTTCAGTTGACCTGGTTTATTGTTTATGACATTTTAAAGATTTTTATTATTTTGAATTAGTTTCAAATGTTTTTTGTCTTAGTTTTGTAGACATCAATTTATCGAGTCAGAACAAAAATAAAGATACGTCTTATCCCTCAACTGAATAAAAGGTGCATAAATTTGATATTTCCATAATTTGAAAAGGTTGATTGCATGGAAACTCTCAATGTTATTTTATGAAAGAAAAACAACAGAAAAATCAGTAATCAGTTTCTAATACATGGGTGAAAGTTTTCAGGATTATGCCCGATTTCAGAATTTTTCAGTCTTCATTTTAATCATTTTTTTTTTCATATGGTCTAAATGCAATGAGAAATTTCAAGCTACATTTTCAGGATTTTCAGTTTTGTCAACTTTCACCCAAGTACTTAATTTG